AAATGAGATACCATGTGTTTTATTTTCTTGGCTTTTAATCTGTGAAAGGTGGGCACATTTTGCAACAGACTTAAGGGCTGTTATTGAAACTATGAGTTATTTATCTTGGGGAGCTAACTCTCAGTCATTCGCTGTACTGGTCAATAGCCACAGCTGATGACAAACTACATATTCTTCCATCTTTTCTAAATATTGCATTTCCTTAAGCAGAAAACCCTCAGTGACCTGCCCCCTAGCTACACCAAATAAAGGCAGGACAGCAGAAAGACCAAGAATTTCTGCATGCTGCGGAAGGAGCAGATGTCCCACCTAGCCACAAGCATCAGCCAGGTGAAAGCTGCAGCAAAGCCAAAGAGGAAAGTGAAGGCTTTGGCTGTGACCTTTTTGACGTGTGCTTGCTTCTGCACCCTCTTCTAGTTGGACAGCGAATGAAGTGCTATATTTTCCCAGCCCCACTGTGGGTTTGGCACTGCCTTTTCTCAGGCCTGGGTTCTTGCCCTTTGCAGTTCCTTTGGGGCAATGACACTGCACCCTTCCTGTGGCACAACATCTGTGCATCACGCTGTGCTACACAGGCTAGGGAGGGGAGCAGGAATTACTTACGGAGGTACAAAAAATTAACAGCTATTTCATTTCAACTTGTAGGTTTGCTCCTGGCAAGTCAGAGTGGGAAGATTTCCTGCTGTACCAAATGCTACTTGGAGCAGCAGCTGAAATGTGTAATTTAAAATTTATATGTGATAGTCTCCCATATTATAAAAGTTAAAATACTATGAATCATCGCATCAGCATTCTAGGTCACTCTTATTCCCAGATGTGAGAGTTAAAAATCCTAATGAGGTTTTTTTTTAAGTGAAAGTTATTAAAAGTTATTAAAAATAACTTTCTAGTTAGGACGTAAAACTTGATACTTAAATGCCAAGACACCACAAGGGATACTTGCTTTCGTATCTTCTGGATCACAGTGCAATGAGTTTCAGCTGGAAATTCCTTTAAAATATATCCAGATATTAGGAAAAACAAGCATAGGAATGAAATTCCTGCTCTCCCAAAGTCAGTGGGAGCTTGGCCAGGGACTTTGAAAGGATCCTGAAGTCAACTATGGGAACAGGATTCAGATTGTAGATGTGCTCTACAATTCAAAAACAATTACACTGGGAATACTCTTATGCTGTAGTAGCTTGAAAATAAAAGCAAGCCCTCAGTTTCCAAATAACAAAAAGGAAAGGTAAATAATAAATTTATATGATGGGGGAAAGTCTGGGAACAGACTGTACTTTCTTTGAGATAGCTGTTTTATCCATACTCTCTAAAACACCCACGTTGAACGCCAATGTCCAAATTCGTTATCGTGTTACAACAGTATCCAGAAACCTTATCAGGATTTATCCCTCATTTTGTAATGTGCTCTACTATAGAAAAAGGGAGTCTCTCAAGACCTTTTGGCAACTCAGCTTTAATAGAAGTGAAAATGTAATAAAAGCGAGGAGACCTCAGGAATGCAGCTATTCCCTCTCCAACCTGAGATGTTGCAATGAAGTGCTAGCGTTGTATTCCTTACGGCACACAAAGCAGTAGAATGAAACACAGAAGGGAAGGTTAGGTAAAGTTTTCTTTCCTATACCTTTTGACCTGAACTGAAAGTCTGTGCAGAGCTTTAACACTCTTAATACAGAACTGACCAGTTCTTGTTGCACTGATTTCTAGGAAGGAAACTTAACAACAAAGGTAGTTGTGGATATACCACTCCGGTATTTGTACTCTGCTTTGGCTCCTCTTTGGACACTGGAGTCCTCCTGAAGACCTGATAACCCTCTCTGCACCAAAAAACTGTTGTGAACCAGCTGCTAGGCTGCCTTTTTGCAACCTGACTTTCAAAACAGAATATAGAAAATCTAATAAGGGCTTGACCATTAACCTTCAGAGAACATTTAGATCTATGCTTGTAAATTCTGTTTTGTAAGCAGGAAGACAGTTAATCAATCTCACCATTTTCAGAATTACAGGCAAACCCCTCTGTGATTTACCGTCCTCAATATTTCCAAACCAAACCAAACTACTCACTTTCATTTACAAGCATTCTGTAGAAACTAATCAAGCTATTCCTTTGCTAAGTATATAGGAAAGAAAGAAACAGAGATTCTTCTCAACAATTTTACTAAACATTTGGGAAATATTCAGATTCGGTTATGATAGGAATATACAATAATGAAATCAGATTTTTTTTCCCATCTCCACTTCCTCGCTGTCTGATCCTGGTTGCATGAGACGTAATCTCTATGTGTATTAAGGCTCTATGTACATATACACAGATGTAGATACAAGTGTCGGTACAGAGACAGATGAGGAGGCAATCATGCTCTACTTCTGCAAAGAAATTCCAAATCTCCCTGGGGGTGTTCAAGAAACGTGTAGATGTGGTGCTTAGGGACATGGTTTAGTGAGTTAGGTGGTGTTGGGTTGGACTTGATGATCCTTGAGGTCTTTTCCAACCTTAATGATTCTATAATGCATTATGGCCACCTCTATAATGCATTAAATCACTGAAAATGTACAAACTACCATCACAGCAAAAGTACTGCTGGCTGACGATGCTACCTGAAAGAGTTTCTGCATCCATGCATTGGCACAAACACAGAACAGCACCAGAAAAATGTCAGCACCAGCACTGTGGTTCGGCCTGGATCATTCTTGTTTCTTAAATGCAACGTTTCAAATGAAACGTACCAAGGAATTCAAAACACTGAAGGAAAGAAACAGGACAGGTAAGGAAAAGGCACATTTTGGGTATGGTTGTACCATTTGTGACCTTCAAGCTAAAGGATAAAATAAAAATTAAACTATGATTAAAAATATGTCTGGCACAAAATTCTATTAACTGATGAGAAGTTTGGAAGCAACAAATCAGGTAAGAAAATAAACTGGATTTGAAATTTTAATTTTCCTTATATGATTAAAATATGCCCATTGTTTAACCATACCAGGAAATACTTTTTTTGTAAGCCATCTCAGGAAAAAAATACAACAATGAGAAAAGTTTTTTTGAATATTCTTTCTATGCTCTCTGCACTTTTTTTTTTCCTTCAAGGAGATTGTGAGAGATTTAAGCTTGCTTGGGGACAGATTACAGAAAAAAATCATAGCAGTCATAAACTGTTTAGGGAGTGAAATACTGTCTCCTCTTTTATTTGGGATTAGACATACTTAAACAAGATCAGTAATGGACTTTGTCGGGGAAAAAAAGCAGTGGTTGTCAAGAAGAAATATTTGCTATAACTAGAAAACGAAATAGTTTTCTACTCAGAATAAAAAATAGTACATACAATATAGCTGGCAATTAGAGCACAAGTGCAACTTTTTTTGGAAGGAAAAGACCAAAAATTATTTGTCTCTAGAAACAAGGGAAATCCATGCAAAAGAATAAAAAGCCTGGAATCCCAGTGAATGTCTGGCTTCATGTTTGAAATCTGACATTCTCTAGGATGGGTCCCTGTATTAGAAGACAGCATTGTTTTTGAGGTGTAAAACTGAGTGGTGGTCATCTGAAACAGGAACTTGTTCAGGTCTTCCGAGAAGAAAGTCTCATCTGGTTACAGCTTCTTGTATTAAATCTACCCTTCTCTGTTACATTATTTTAGGCTTGCTGCATATTGTTTTATATTTTCTTAAACTGGTAGAGGAGAATAACGATTCTATCCGCATTTGACTAGGAGGCAACACTTTTACTAGTGATGTACCTAAACATACTCCAGAATAATTTACATTGAAATATCTTAACTTGCTAGGGAAACAAGGTGTCAGTTTTGATGTTGTGAATTATTATTAATAATGATAATATTTTCCTTGTGTTAAGGACAACTGTCAAGAAACCATGTAGCAGTCTGGAGCTAAACGTGTGTTCCTTGCGTCCTATCTTAAGATCTCTGAAACTTCCTTGTTACTATGGGAAAGGCAAAGGATGCTGTGTCTCCTGTATTGCTTCCACTACTTCTAATCAGTCCCAGGAGAAGCTGCAAAACAAGGCAGGAGTCCCACCACTGCTGCTCAGCAGAGAATGAGAAGGAGCAGCTTTGGTTGACTATGTCCTGGAGGACAGTGAGAAAAGAGCTTGACTGCTGTCACAAAATACCTATGAAAAGGTTACTTCTCTACTTCCATGCTCCCAGCAGCCCCCCAAAAAAAGGTCAAAAAATGATCTGATATTCTGTTTCATGGTCTCATTCTTTATGTCCATTAAAAAACACCCTGAAGATTATCCTCATGTGTTATCATTGAGCTAGGATTTCCCAAGAACCATGCACCAGCACACACAAGCATCTTCCCTGCCTATAGTCAGTGTGCCTCCTGTGTTTGTGGCAGCAGGAAGGGAGGCACAAGAGTTGGCTTACATCAGCTCCACATTGCCTGAAGAGACGTAGGCAGTTTCCATTTTCTTTGTGCCATCTCAATGCAAAGAAAGGCAAACAGGGCAAATTAATTGACCTGATATATTGACTGTGGCTGTCTGACATTTTTAAAATGTTTGGACTGTGGGCTAAAAGGGTCAGACATCACTGGTGTACATGTAGATACAGATGGTTGCACACTTACAAAAGGATTTTTTAATGTCTGTCAAACTGAAAAGGAGGAAGCATGACAAAAATATATGTAAGTAATGAGGTGAGAACACTAGTCTCGACTTTCTGAATTCCCATGCAAGTACAGTGAAATTTCACTAAGAAATCATTCCTGCATTTTTTTTTTTTTCCCAGTTTCAAGGACTCTAAAGCACAGCAATATCTGTGTATTTAACTAATGTGACAAGTTTTAGTGTGTGCTAATCAAACCTAATCACCTCTACATTCTACCAGGTACTACACTGATCAATGGAAAAGCTTTCTAGGCAAGAACTTGGAAAATGATAAAAGCATTTACCATCATTATTTTCTGCTTTTGACAATGATGTATGTCTGTACAGCTCATCAGTCATCTCTTGTAAAAACAGCGTGGCACTTTGATCAAACAGCCAACAATAGCTTCCCGTGTAAGGTAAAATGTTATGAGAGGCCATCAGATAGAAATCACATTTTCTCTGAACAATAGGAACCCAGAAATGATGTACTTAATTTACCTACAAATAAAATCATGTGAAAGGTGATATCTTCACACAGGTTAAAAAGACAGTGAGCCTTTTATTCACCTTTCTGCATGTTAAACAAACTTCACTGTCATGTTGCAACTGAGATGGAGTGTCTACGCAGTGATAAAGAGGCACATTCCAGCTCTACGAAACATAACTGCCACTGTTGAAAAATTACCTGCATTAAACCTTACACTTATCCCACAAATTTTAAGAGCAAGATGTGGGAGTTTGATTTTGATTACAGGCCTCTCTCTGTGTGGTAGGCAAAGGTCTTTAACCTATATGTTCTGAATGTACTAGGTGCATAGTTTCATCAATGTCATGCCTCATTGGGTCAATGCAGGATTTTATCTAAAACCTGAGGCTTTTCAAGTTTACACTGTATATGCAAACACAACCTTTTACTTTGCTCTCTGCCTTTTGCTTCATTGAGAAGACCTATGGTATTTATAGAAAAGGGAGCTGGAGGCATCTTAATCTTATTTTACTCACTTAGATTCCTACTGAGTCGAGGTCTTCAGAAGAGAAAGGTTGTTTATTTGAAGACCGGTGGGCGCCAGAGCCAGTGGAGCCAAACACTTTTTAGTGTTAGAAAAATTGCCACTCTTCCTTTTCTATTCTGGCTTTCCTGGAACCTCTACTGATTGCAACAACGTTCATTTTTAAGAGGGCTGACACAGATCCTCTGCTTCTGAACATAAATTAAAGTAGAACACATTATCCCCATTTACTTTTGCAGTCTGTAAATGACCGATGATTTTTGTACAAAAGGTAATACTGATATAGATAATCTCCTCTTGATGTTGTGCTACAAGACGTGTGTCAAGATTCACACAGGTATTTAGGCACTTAACTTCCATTTATCTCAAAGAAAGACTGTGCGTTTGGATTCTGGGCCCAAGTTCACATAGCAAGATGTGTCTGGAGTTCATACTAACAGGAGAAATAGATCTTCCAAGTAACAAAGCTGTAACCAGTTAAGTTGTGATGATGTGTAGGTGGTGGCCACCATTACTGACTGAAATAAACATTGGAAGAAATAATCTCATCCAATTAAAACATTAACAGCTGATACCCAGTTGGGTTTTCAAGTTGAAAGCAACCACAGTAGAACTTCCTACTCTGATGTAGACAGGATTGCACCGTCTTGCTGACACATATATGACATACAAACAGAATGATTCCCTACGCCAGTCTTAGAACTTTCTATTAACTTCTGATTTTGCAAAGCTTACAGTGAAAAAGATGAATCGCTACATTTCTGGGAGTAATGGCCACTTGGTATGCCACTGCAGTTTCAGTCTGATGTGGTGTTTACCATCTCAGTTAATTCTCAATTCTGACATAAGTGCCACAAAGTGTCTGCATAGTCCCATTGCAAAAGTAGTTCAAAGGTTAAAGGAAAACGCACAGGTAAAGTCTTAACAGAAGTTGAAATCTGAAGCAAGCAGAGCAGTTGCCTGTAGCCTACCATAACAGTTGTAATGGGGAACGGGGTGTCTCAGATCAGAAAAGCTTTTTTAATTGATCAGCATTCACTTCTTTTTGTGATTTGATCAAGAAAAAGAAAAATACTCATGAAGGTATGCCATCACACAGTTGCCAGGAATGGTAGTCTCAGTGCTCACAACCTCCAGGCTCATTGCTGCTTTGGAGTTACCATGGTGTTCAACTCCTGCAGACAGCAGACCCCAGGAGCTAAACTAGAAATTTAACCACGTAAAATAATGAATAAACTCCAGCTTGATTACCTGTTTAACTTTCTGAATCAGCTCAGTGTGGGGTCAGATTAATGCCAGTGCTGGTGCAAAGTAGGGGGGGTAGGAACAGGATTGGTTGCTGTTAGGCTTGCCTACTGGAAAAATACCTGAAAAACTCAGAATAGCGAAGTTTTTCCTTTCCTTCTTTTCCAAAGAAATGTACCAGCAACAAGGTATTAACACCACAGCTTTCCAGTTCTGCTCCCTATAAAACAAAAAACTGTATGATTAATAATTATGCATTGTATGATCATTAATATATATTTACCACAAATCTGGATATATTTATTTGAACTAGAATTTCACAAGAGACTTGCAATTTAATTACTGTTCCCAAAGCTATCAAACAGGATCTCAGAGCTGAATAATTCTTCCGCATAATTTGTAACAGTGTATTACATGTTCTGCTTCTAAATATTCGGTATGAAAGGTGAGTACAATTTACAACCACTTTTGGTGTATTTTATTATTAGCACAGAGAAGGTTGCCAGTTAAATATTTATAAACCTTTATGCTTATGTGAATAAAGGCTTTAAATAAAGTTAACACTTTTGTATAAGAGATTTTTGTCAGATATTTTAATTTGTTACAGCCATTTAAAAATGTTCATGATAGTCTAAGAAACAAAAGTAAAAACAGACAAACATTTACAGTGCTCTATTATAATATGGTCTTACAAGGCTTCTTGTAAATTTTCAATGTTAGTGACTTTTCTATACATTTTAAATATGATTAAGATATTTCTGCAGGAGAAGGATGCACATGATTTCAACTCAACAGCCTCTTTAACAAGTCTGAAACCACACATAATGCTGGATTTCTGTTTTTTGTCCTTCTTTCAGCACTAGCGTACTGGCATTTCTTTGAATGCAACAAAACACTATGGTATATGAAGAGATTTTTTTTTTTTTGTGAGTCTGGAGGGATTTCAACAAACTATTCTTATGACATCTAAATAGCCTCTGCTTCTTTTATCTGGTTGAAGAGGTAAGATGAAAGACAGGAGTCTATTCATACGATTTAATACTAATGGTTATTTAGCTTTCAGCATCATCAATAACAAGTCCCATTAGTCCACTGTGTTTCATGCTTACTGCATATGTGACACAGTTATTTTATAGTTAAAGAGGTAACATTCTTCATTTCTACTGCAAGCTACAATTCACTAATGCCAGTGATAAGAGTTATGTATGAGTGAACCTAGAAAAAAGACTTTTCATGTCATATGCAAACTGTACTTTTTGAACTTTATCATTTAACTGCAAGCAAAGAATATTTAAATACCCACAAGATCCATCCTTCTAAAGTTTAAACACTTCAGATTACTGTGAAGATTGACGCATAAAGATTGGCATATGCTTTTCTAAAAGTCAAAAATTCATGTATGCTTATTTGAAATTCAAATCCAAACTATTTATGTCAGAATGTGAAGTTTTCTAGGAAACAGAGAAGAATCCACATATTTCACACTGCAGTGAGATTCTAATCTGGTTTTTGTGTTTTTTGTTTACATGTTTAAAGGAGACTTGAAAAATGCAAGAAAAAAAATAATCACTGAGGTAATTTGTTAAATTGAACTCATGATTACACAATTTAATGCTTCCACTATAATAACTCCATATTAAAATCAGATTTGTATTGAAAACAAACTGAAAAACAAGGTTTAGAATAACCTTTCAAACATTAAGTCTGTGACAGTCTTTTTCATGTTTCTCTAGCTATAAGCTAAAAGAAGTCATACAAATAATACTCATCTCATCTTATCTGAGATGACGAAGCCTATCCCTGGATTTATAACAAATACGCACCTACTTGTTGGCTACCCTCTTTATCAGTTGAAATTCCAAAGTGGAATTGGCAGATGTCCAAGCACTATGTCAGTGAGAGTTAAATGTATTTTAAAACTACAAAACAGCACATTTCTTTAAAACAGAATATGCAATGAGACCACAGAGACTACAGCTTAAGGGTAAAATTTCAAAAAACTGCTTTTGCTAGAGTTAATGCTATTAAAGTACATGTTAGTACATAATTCCTTTTTGTGCACAGAATCATTAGGAGCTTTTGCTGCTGAACTGTATAAATTAGTACTGACACGACAAATCTTTGTTAGAAGATAATGGGAGCTCTATTAGTATTTCCAACACCTCACCCTCCTGAGCTTAGGTAAAAGAAAAACGTATGTTTGGAATGCCTGTCTTGGCAATGAGAATGAAATGGTAACCTAATCCTGGAGCTGTAAAAAGGACCAGACTGGTAGCTTAGGGCCACAGAGCCACAATCTAAATTGAATGAAATTTTATATTCTGGTGTAAGTGGTGGCTTCAACCCCAGGAGGGTGCAGCACAGCACCCTTCTGGGTTGTGCTTTAGAGAAAGCTGAGGCACAGAATGGAGAAGGGATGGTGATACTGTGACTCTCATCTTCATACAAGCATGGGATGGGGCAGGGACACCTATCTCACCTGAGGTGCTCAGACATGTTCCTGGGTCCGTTGGTTCACACAAAGAATCCCAAAGACGAAGCTCTGATGCCACACAAGTCTATGTGAACTAATGAACATGTGTGTACATGGTACAAATGCAAGCTTATGTTCCTAGAGTAACGTTAACACCTTGTACATTTTTCAAAAGCATCACGAACTGCTGAATTATGCAATTATTCCTTTTTAAGCAAGATCAGAGAACACAACACTTATTTCCTTATTACATTCCACAGACTGCTAACAAAGAAGCCTGATGCTGCAAACGCTGAGTCACAGGCATAGACCTACCTAATCATGTAGATCCCCACTGAGCTTTTGACATTCAGGACCTGATACTGCAGCAAGCAGCAACAAGTGCCACTGAGAAGAAACTTATCACACAGTGAGACAAGATTTTTGGAATAATGTACCTAACTGACTTTCAAAACTTATCTGAAATGTTAATAGACTTACTGTCTGTAGATTCTTACCCCCTTTCATTGCAGAATTTGCCTGAGGCATGACTGTAAAGCATTAATTGTGATTAAAATCTGTAATACATTCTTTGTTCTCTTACTTACATCCTGGGAGATGGTATTTACTGTGCAATGCCTTCTTTCAACAGATATTGTGAAAATAATATAGATTTTGTATTGAATTTTTTTTTGTTGTTGTTGAAGATAGAAGGAGAGTGAATAGACGAAGAACAGGAGCAGAAGAGCGAGGAGGGTCAAGAAGAACAGTATCTTAGTTTCTGTCTGCTATTGATGTCCTAAATTTTTCCAAAGGTAAGACTAAATCTGCAAATTTTTCTGAGTTCACTTCTCTGAAATCCTCTTTGTTTTTCAGCTGCTATGTCAGTCAATTCATCATGTCAGGCTTCTATCCCTGAAAGCAATCCAGACTTCAATCTAAGCAGCCTAGCCTCAAACACTGCTCAAGAGCACCAAGCTTTGCGTTATTTTGAGAGTCTCCAAGATATTAATATATATCCTGCAACTCAGTTCTGGAAAGAAGGTTTAAAAGATGTATCCATTATGAAATCAATCCTACCAGCTACTAAAGTTTTTCATGTTTTGCAAGGCACTTTGTTCCTAGGTAGGATTCAAGAATATATCAGGTCTGATACAGAGGGGCTAAAATGTGCACAATTTTTTTCTACAGATGGTATAACAGTATCTGAGAACAAGTCTGATAGAACATTTGCTAAACAATTAACAGTTTATGTCCAGCATTCAACAACATCCATAGTTCCCATTACCTGGGGGGTAGATGTTTTTTAAGGATAACTAATGCCATGAATCACTATGCTGTACCCTTAGTGCCTTTAGCAAGGAAGAAAATGTAACCTCATGGGTGTCCTCAGCTTTCAGTGTTTCACCCACAGTTCTGCATCAATTCATGGGGAGATAATAAAAATGGTTCCAGTCAAACGGGCTAATTTGGGCATAGACGCAGGAGATACTTTATGGCAAAAATAGGAAGAGGTTCAAACTAGTCTCGTCACCAGCAGGTTGAGAGGGACCAAATCCTGCTGCGTCAACCTGTCAGGGAACAGCACCGCTGTGCTGCGGAGCCTGAGGCTGCCTGACCGGTGCGCTGCTGGCAGCTGGGGAAAGCACCTTCTATACACAGCTGGGGATGGTCCCTCACAAGAATTCATGTCCTGCCTCCCTGTCATGCCATACTGTAAAAATATTAATTTCCACCAAAAGCAGGGAATCTGTAACGAGGACTCCCCTCAGGAGGTATGACACTCTTTGAAGCACACGTAAACCTCCTTGCTCTTGGTGCTAAAACCGACTCGGATGGACTGTGACCAATTCCCCCACCCTGCAGTTCAAATGCGTCCCCAGGTAGTCCATGTTCAGGCTGTCATCCAAAGTTTCACGTATCACAAAATGCCAACTGAGCATGCTTACATGCACCATTTCCAGTTTATTCCAGTTAATTTTACAAGCAAATGCACTAGGTAGCCTGTAGAGATTATGACCAGATCCTTACTGTTTTGAATTAAGGGCTAGAGCTGTTAGTGCAAGGCCAAGTCGTGTGCCTTCCCTGGCCTGTCAGGAGCCCACACTGCTATCTGGCTTCTCTAGCTATATAATTTAAACTGCTTCAGACTATGTTAAGCAGCAGAGACTAAAGGGGTAGCCTTGCCTCACACATCTGTGCAACGGAAAGCAATGCTACTGTGACCACAATGGGCTTCCAGATGAATTCGTCTTGGGAGAGACTTCTGCTATTCAAGCCAAATTTAATGTACTTACAGAACAGGTACCTAGAAAGATGTCAGAAAGCGTGCTTCTTTCTCCCTCTTGAGGTTATAATGTGACCAGATCATGTGGAAAAATAAAATAATTTCCTTGTCCCTGAGGTAAACAATGACCCAGCTGTTTTTTAATAGCTTAGTATTTTGATGCCACACTTCTTCGTTCTTTATGGGGTTCACCAGCCTGGAGAACTTTCTTTAAAGCATGCAGGAAGATCGCAGTGCTCCTTTCCAACCCTAGCCATTCTATGATTCTATGATTCATTTAAAGTAGCTAAAAGCTTTTCAACAGAATTAAATGTTAATCTGCTGATACAAAACATACACATTTATACTGCAGGAGACAGGTCAAGAAAAAAATGTGCATTCCATCTAACTGAGAGGTGACAAGATTTATGACACTCTTTTTTTTTTTTTGGGAGTGATATTAATTTTAGTCTTGGACCAGATTCTTGCAAAATTCAATGTGCTGCACAGATACGCTGCACCCCTGTTAACAGAGTACTACTGCTCTAGAAGAGCGTAGCTGTCAACCACCATCTTCCTCCATTCAGTGTATGTAGTCTTTTGTTACTCTGGGTCCAGGGCTTTGCAGACTTTGAACCTATGGATAGAAAACTTTAAACTAATGAGAAATCCTAGGGAGTAGATGGGCAGGTTATGATGGCCTGCAGTCTCTGTGGCTGAGGAGATGCATTGCAATGCTGCGGTGTCTGAAGGTCCAAGTGTAAAACCTTGTGCTGACCAGCTAAGCGGTGATAAATGTGTGAATGACTAATACAATTCACCTCTCTCAGGACCATACAAAAGTAAAAAAAAAAAAAAAAGAGAAGTAGACAGGTTAAAAATTGATACACAACCAATAGGAAAATATCCATGTGTGGGTCTGAAAGTATTTTGCTTATAGTCAGACTGAATTGTAGTTCAAAAGTTTCCTGTTCAAAAGAGATTAATAGCTGTGTACCCAGATACTAGTTAAACATTTAAAAAAACCCACATAAATGAGACACTTTGTATGAAAATGTGTTTATTATGTAATCCAGAAGCATACATTTAATCATTTTGAAATGAGACAATGCACGTATTTCCCAACATGAATTCCATTTTAAGAACAAATATAGAACATTCTGCTTCTAACAATAGCGAAAATTAATTTCTAAGTTTAGCCATTACACAAAGCATACAAAATTAGAGTATTGAAACTAATTTATAACTCATTAATCTAAATTGAAGGGCCCAAGAGCAAAGTCCCTGATCTAGGCAACCAGGCTGTACAGCAGAAATCTGCAACCATTAGCATTGTTTTCACTACCAGAATGCTAATGTACGTAACAGGATTAGAGTATATTTTTAAGGAACTCAGGGCATTAACACAAAAGCAACTGGTGCTACACTGGGCAACACCTTTTTCAAAATACACCAAACTCTTCTAGCTTATGCACTTCCCTATAACACTCTACCCCACGTCCAGGCAATGAGTCTGCCTCTCCTCTTCTGTGAAGCATGGCCAAATGCTCAGCTGGAAGTCTCACACCAAGCAGAGTGGTTGTGCTAGGAAGCCAGGTACAGCATTCCCTTTGGCCTCTGGGGAAGATGGGTGAGGGGAGACAGTCACTGCCTCTGTTGGCTGCTGCACCACTTTCTCCAATCTAGTTAGAAAGAGCCAGGTTGCCAGCCTTGTAAGTCCACCTGCATCTCTCCTTCGCTGTGTGCACGCCTGTGCTATGAGTAAATCGGATTGCCTGCTCTGCAAAAGTCAGCAAGGAACTTCCCAAAATGCTGGACTCGTTAAGGCTGGACAATTTTTTTTTGCTTTTCTTCCAGCATCAATAAATTACATTGGAAGAAGAAAATCCCTCAACTGAAATATATTTATTTGGACAACCAAGTTCACTGCAATCCCATTCAAGGGCCATTACTAAGTGGTAAAATTCTGAATTTTAGACACATAAGTCAGAGTCTCAGTAGAAGAGACAGAGATACAAGCACCCTAGTAACACAGCCAACAACTGCTTTTTCTCTTCCTAACACAGTACCTGAACAAGTATTGAGTGGTATCTCCATAAAGTAAGTGAATGACTGGGACCTCTGTCTATACACTGGACAGGGAACATACCTGGGTATATCTGGTGGTTAAATAAAGTTGCAGACTACATTTTAAAACTTATTTTCATAAGTCAGCGACATTTTTCATCTGGTGTCAGAGACTGGGATTACTTTGCTCATATGCAAGCTCATATGCAAAATGTGAAAGTGTTGTGGAAATAAAGAACTATCCCAAACAACAAATTTCTGTTGCAGAGTCTCAGCTTTCAAAGAACACAGTCAATTTAAAAGCCATATTTTTATGCTTTATCTGTTTTGCTGGAAAGTAATACTATGACTGCCATAATTATTAAAAGTATGGGGTAAAAACATATGCACTGACACAACATTGTATAGTCAAATTCACTGCTTATAGTGATAATGCACTCCTTTTGTGAGAGACAGAGACAGGAAAGAAAAAGAAAATAGAAGAAAAATGACAATTTGGACTTTGCCAAGTAGAAATATAGAGACCAGAAGAATTTCAAGAGAGCTGTAGTTCCCAAAACTATTTAATTCTTTTGAACAGACTATAAGTCCATTTATAATCTGCTAAGAAACCGTACTAAGTAACATTTTCTGGTTACAATAACTTCAGATTTTTCTCAATGGAGAATTCTGGAGACAAAATTTGAAGCAAGAATAAAAACAAAACAGAGACATTCAAGCTCAGGTATTTAATTAGTTCCCAATAAGCTTATGTGTTTATAACTAAATCTGTCCAACTGTATCAAAGTTTCTCTGGAAATTTTATACTATAGTTGTGCATTCATGCAAAATAGATCTTTTTCTTTCACTGTAATGGCAGTTAAGCTTTAATTGAAATTGGTTTTGAGGAGCAGACAACCCTACTAATCCTAGCTATTTGAACTGGTGACTGATGAAAAGATTCAAAAAAGGAGATGATTGTTAGTCAAACAATTTTTAACTGAACTCTGGACACATACTGAGGGACCAAAACCTTTATGCATCACAAGATAGTTTTTCTTTATGCCTCGTAAATATTAAAGATGTTAGCAATACTGCCACTTCCATTTTTTTCCCCAGGCAGGTGATAGTAAAGAACACAAGCTGGACCAACTCTTTCTAGAAACTGCTGATGCATGATAGGTTTATAAAGCAGAAACCTTTATAAATTTCTTATTGAATGCTTCCAACATGAGCAGTTGCTGCCTCATGCCTAATTACTCATTTTCAGTTTACACCTGAAAGCATGTTTGTAGTGAGAAAAATATCCTTTAGCTACACCATCCAATTTAAGCATGCAACAAAAGCAGAGCTGCTGATGTAAGGAGCACCTTACTGTAATAGACAGAGATAATCCATCTGTACTCTCCCCCTTCTTCACCCTGGTTCATCAGCTGCTTCTGAGGTGTTTTCAGTACACTCAGGACTTCCCCTATCTGTTTCACTCCATTCAATCTCTCCCAGGCTACAGAAAATCTTGTCTGTGTGCTGAATACAGACTGAAGAATAGATGGCAGCTGGCAAAGACCCTACCTGGGAAGAAGGCAGGCTGCAGTGGCAGGAATCAGGGAAAAACAGCTGGAAGAGAGCAGGAATTTACCTGCCCCTTTCATTGGCAAGATGTATTTGCCATTTGCTAATGGTCTACAGGTGAAACTTCTAACCCAGCTGGAAGATTGTTTCTTCTGGTCTGCATCTAGGCCATTTCTTTCTAGAAGTGGACCTAACTAAAGTAGTCCTTGCCTTTGTCACCTGAATGACAGTAATTACATCTCAAACTAACTCAGAGGAAGCTGATATTACTGCAACAGCAGCACTTAGGTAAGTATTAATTTCAGTTTGGAAAGCTGTCTTTTCTAATATGGCAATACAGAGTTTCTTCTGAGTTTTTTATAAATAGAATAGAGTTATTTTGAAACAGAGGCTAACAGAAATTAAACATTAGAGTGATGACAGAGTAATGAAATACATTAATTGCATACATTTCATTAGGAGATTCAGAAGTGACAAACATTCTTCTTCCCCAGTTAGAAAGTAGTTGAGACATCATGCACTTTCATTTAATTAAAGCACTAATACTGATCCTTATACACTTATCTAAAAGCTCTGAAAAAATAACAAAGTTCATGGGAAGTATAACAATGCTTTTGTAAAGAAAAATGTATCTCTATTTCATACCCGAAATACTGTTTCGTCTCCATCTGTTTTCAAATCATCTTCCTTCCCAATGATTCTCTGTAGCTGTATTTGTTAAGACATGAAAACAACACAGGAAAATTACACATTTGGTCTTACAAGAGTCTCCTTTTTCAGAAACTTACATTAGTTTCACCTTTTCTTAATTATAAAGTCATTATGTTTCTGCAAGGTTCTCTAGTCATGACATAATATTTGCATACTTCAGGGTATTTTGCTATTCAGACACACTTTTTCTCAGGAATGTCTTATCTACTGTGGTTAATACAGCCAAGGAGAGCACACAAATCAATTGCTTGCAACCCAGTGTTCTATTTTTAGAGATTTTCTTGCACTAGAAGCTTAGCATTCACTCCCTAAGTTTTTGAAACTCAGAGGTATGACATCAAGGGTCATTTGGGAAATAAAAATTATTCTGTGATTTTCATGCTGTCCTTCTAGACAGCTTTACATTGTTCTGCTACAGACATGATCTTCTAGACATGAAAAAAATACCTGTTCAAACAATGTCCTATACAAGTAACAACAAAGAAGAATTTAATTAAATCAGCAAACGCATTTGAATGCCTACCTTTCACAGACATTTGCATGAATCCTCAAAAGGACAGCAAAAATGAAAGAACAAGGGACTTATTAAATTTCAGGTATAGATATGGACTTACACCGATCACTCTGAATTTGGAGACTTTAGGAAATATGCTTTTAAAGTTCAGTGTTTTTGGAACTGCTGGTTTACTTCTCAAACATTTCTGAGTGATTGCTCACCCTGCCCATTAGAACTGGGAAAAAAATCCATGACCAAATTTGCAGAGCCATTATTTTGTGGGGTTTTCAAATCTCTTCTTAGGGCTTCATCTTCCCCCCCCCCCCCCCTTTTTTTTTTTTTAAATTTTTTAATTATGCTGTTCAGAGAAGCAATACGGGCTTCTAAACAGTGAGTAGGAAAAAACCTGCCAACTGTTCATGTGGCCAAGGTCTTCTTTTGGCCTTCAAATTTTGACTAATTCACCCGTTCTGGTTTGTTTTTTTAATAGCCAGTTTTCTAGTTCCGCAGGATAGTTACTGTCTATTATTATTTTTGAATGGCATGCCTTGAGAGTATTTATCAAAATAAACACCATAAAACAAGACAATCAAACAGTACTAGTTCTTCCAAGTTTCTCCAAATTCTTTTTATATTTGATCACTTACAAAACAATTGATTAGTACAGTAAAAGCATTATGAATTTCTTCATAGCAAAACAGCAACATAGAGCTCTGGATAAAAACGCAACTGCTTGTCCACGTTCTCACTGAAAAATTACATCTTTTCTTACCTGAAAAATCCATCTTTTGCTCACACATAAGAAATGCAAGTGCAAATGCTTTCCAAACAAGAGAAAATATGATTTTTTTCTCTTGGATTTTATTTTTAAATGACTCTTGAAAAATTTGCAGAGACTACTGAAGAACACAGACACACAGTATAATTATTTTTCACAAATGTTCTGGAAGACTTCATTTATTGTTTTCTTACTCTGTATGTAAATCCTTATAGTGCTTGAAACTATTTCCAGTAGTTTGCGGATCTTTTTCCAACACAATGCAGCAACTACTTACAGAGGGAGTAGAATTCTGCCCTCAAAAAATGGACTCTAATACTCAACTGTTCCAAGTAACATGTAGCTGTATTTAATATCTATATCTGTTCATCACTGCAAGACACTAATGGCTAATTCAGAGAGAATGAAATCTCTTATGCACAACTGATGCCTTTTTACTAAAGACATACTAAGAAATAATCTTTTCTGGAGAAGACAGGAGCCGGCAGAAAGGCTACGTCAGTCTTAAAAAAACCAAAAGGTGACCTTGCATCTTCCAGTTGTTTGAGAGAGATTAGTGCTTGTGGATGCTCTAGGCCTGCAGAGGTGTTCTGCACCAAACCACCACAACCACTGACAGTGTCGGGTGCTGGTTCACTCAGCTGTAGATGAATCTCTACAAGTTTTTTGTGGTATCTGCTGTCCAGGACAAGTGTATAAAGACAGTCTACTTAGCAAGCCTAAATCACATAGCTCTTGCATGTGCCATCAGAGTTACCCTACCTCCATTCCAAATACTTTTGAAATGTCATTAATTTTACTTAGAAATTTTTAATCAGGACAGAGTTAGGGAAATTCCTCACATGCTGGGCTTTGGGGATCTTTGTTAGCCTTATTCTTGCTGGGAGATCACATTAATGTTCATTAGTTTATTACGTGCACATGTCTGGAAATCCCCTTGCCAATTCTCATGTGAACGTCTTGGAAGTGCAGAATTCACAGAATATGGCTCTAAGAAACAATTCTTTGCACTCTGGCAGGGGCTGATTAAAGGATGGCAACCAACACCCGTGAACACGCCATTTCTACCACACCTTCTTCACCCTAGAGTTACAGGGCAAAGCAACAAATCCTTGCAGATGCCCAACTCAAAATACAGATTGCTGTGATTCTGGGCCCTAACACTGAAATGTCCCTTGTATTGTGAGAGTTTACCACTGAAACATGGACGAAGCAGAAATTAAAAACAGACCAGCCTGAATACCTGCTGTCATTAGCACTTCTGAATGTGTAAAATAGGAGGAAAATTTTGCTTACTTTATCCCAGGCCATCTTGCTGTAGAAAATTTTGTGCTTAGGGTGGTGAAACACTGGAAGAGGTTGCCCAGGGAGGTGTAGATGCCCCATCCCTGGAAACATTCAAGGTCAGGTTGGATGGTGGTCTGGGCAACATGATCTAGTGGAAGGTGTCCCTGCTTGCTGCAGGGGGGTTGGACTAGATGACCTCCGTGGTCCCTTCCAACTCAAACTATTCTGTGATTCTGTGATTCTATAAGTAGGGAGGAGACAGAACAACTTCTTTTAACTTCTACTGGAAAGGAGGAAAATACGCACAGAAGTGGAAAGGCTATGGAGGATAAGATGAACCTTCTCCTTCAAAACATGGAATTGCATTCAAGATCTCCTTTCCTGAACATTCATTTATATTAGCGAAGAGCACTGAATCTACTGGGGAAATCCTGCATCTCACAGTCCTTCAGCGTCAGTTCCATACAGGTCTGAACAGTGTGTCTCCATCACCTGCTGCAGGCACCAAGGACTGGCGTTGTAGAGTCTGCATGTCACCCTTCTCCCTTTCCTGAATGATTCACGTGACACATCTTGTTCATCCAGTAACATGCAAGTTGAGATAAACACAATTCAAAAAATGACGGACACTTTGCAAACAAAAAGGCAAAGTTCTTACCTCAAAGAATTTATAGTCTAGATCAACAGACATTGTAGTTATACACAGATGTCTAATCAGTAGATAATGAGAAGTAGGGAGAAGAGGTGACAAAGCAAGAGAATGAAGTAGCACTGCAATTTCTTTTGCCATCGCATTTTCCTTACAGTAATTGCCTCCTAATTACTGCTTCTTTGCTACTCTTTTCCACTGCCCTTTCCTTACATACGTTTCCTGATATTATTGTCAAATACAGTGTGGAAATAGCTAACAGAATAGTTCAGATGTATTCTCCTGAGACGACAACTGGGACAAGACAAATGACAGATTAGCCACACAATTTACTAATTTATTAGACTTACAGAAGCTTTCTGTGATACATACAGAACTAGGGATTAACACACACATTTTCCCAGATTCTTACATTCAAAAAGTTTTATTTTTAAACGTAACCTATAAAAAGTAAGTTTTGCTTTAAAATAGTCACTGCTTATAAATGTTAAGTAAATAGTCTGTGAGAAAACTCATCTTTTGACCTGCTTAGATCCTGTGGGACTTCTTTGAATTTAATGATTCTTGTGAGTTGACATTGCAATTTATATGTGGGGTTTTTTTTACCACTCGATATTAATTTATCAATATAGCCCATAAAGGAAATGAAAAGTAACAATCTATCTAACTAGAATAATTTTAATTTAATTTGATTGCCTCTGTAGGAATCAAATTATTTTTAATGATTTGTATAAAGTTTCCACCTCTACTTTTGATGACTTTCTGTTATTCATACTGGCTGATTCAATTAGAATTACCTGAAATGGGTAATGGACCTTAAATTAATGACCTACTGTACATCTCCCAAAGAGAGTTGTGCTGTATTTCTGCAAGAATCTCCTTATTAGCTTAACTGACACAGTCCCTATTTAAAGGAAGTACTGCTAACACAGCATTTTGGTGCAGAGGCACTACAGGCTGAACATGTTCACTGAAAAAATGGCTACGAAAGTACACTTAAATATTTTTTTTGTAATTTCTCTATCAACAGGTACATCTTTATAAGTTTTAGATTCTATGGTTCTTTAGAGTTGTTGCATTAAATGATCATCTTTAACTTTACCCTAGTGACAGAAAATAATTTGCACTGTAGTAGCCATTTCAGCTTCTTGTAAAATTGTCTCTCTAGTCATCTGCAATACGAATGAAGGATCTGAATTAAGTTGAGGGAGTCTATTAAAATTATGTTTGTTAACTTTACATTCGACTTTTGACAAGAAGTATTTAGTTAACAGTCTTCTGTTAAATTCTTAAAAGGTGAATAAGATCTATAATTAAGCCTATTCTTCTTTAAAACATCAGAGCAAGATTTTCTTTGTTTTTAAGCATTTATCTTTCTCCCCCATACAAAATATGGGAAAACCTGCTGCTACTCTCCAAAGCGTGAATTGGTAAAAATCTTGTGCAAAAGCAAACAAAATTAATAAAAGCAAGAGAGGATGGTGAATTTAAAAAATTATTCAAAATATTTAGAAAATAAAAGACTTTTACAGATGATTATTTAAATTAACTCATGGGAGTAAGGGATGTACATCAACTCCTACCTTCCCAGTAATAGATTTTTAGATACAAGCCAAAGGTAACATTTATAAAAGTGGATTCAAATGTGTTAAGTACTTCTATAGCAATGCTTTGGTATGTGCTCCTTTCATATAAAGTATTTTAATAAGTATGCGATCATAGATCAGACTGAAAAGTAGGCTTGAAGATTTTAATGAATCTTCATTTAGCAAATATAATCTATGGAACTATTTAAATGCTTTAAAATTAATATGCATATAAATACACATACCTTAAAGAATTCTTTTTTTTCAACTTGTTCATTGCCATCTGTATCCAACATTTTAAAGGCAATCTGAAATCCAGTCTGAGGTTCTGCAACAAATTGCAAATGTACATTATTGTAAACACACACACACTTACACTTGTACTTGAATATTTAATGCCAAAGGAATATTGCCTATGGTTCAGTTCTTCATCATTATGCATGCACACGGTATTTCCAGTAAACCATTCTCCTCCAGTATAAGCAAACCTTTGAAACATCTTTTTACTACCACTTCAAGGGATAATTAAAGCAACGGCAAAGCAAGAAATGCCAGCAGTGCCACACGTATCCATTTGAGCCCAATGACTGTGAAAATATTGTACGTCTTACTGTCCTGGTCTTTGATATTCTCTATAGAGGTCTCCATAATCCCAAGTCACTTCTGAAGTCTAGCTCTGTCGTGTTTATTAGAGGTCCTTTTCAGGTGAGAAGACTGGAAAGTGCCTTGAGAAATCCATAATTATTCCCAATCTGTGTGAAAGAGCTAGTGTACTCCTCAGGTACTTCTTGCATGCATTACTGTATGCCAGTATTTGCAGTCTTCCCTAGTCTTCCCTAGCAAACAGACTGATCTTGTAATCGCGGCCAGCTCTCTCGGCTCCTGCTCCTGCTGTGTTAACCCCAGGCCTTTTTTTTCTTCCCTTCTCTTCCCTCCCTAACCAATGTACTCATATGTTACTGAGATGTAATAAACCACTCTTTCTGGCCTTTTTGGACAAAAGCATGTTTTGTATGACTCCCATCAAGCAGATTTTTTCAGGAATTTTATACAATTTTACCCCACATTTCCTTCACTGACTGGATGTTTCTTTTCAATATAAAAATGTAATGAGTTCTGAGTCTTGCAGGCACTATAAAAACACAGTGTGTTTTGAGCTCCTTCCCACAATTTCCTGATCTTACTTTGCTTACAGGAGGTGGCCCCCACTCATTAGCAAGCCCACACAGGACACTCATTAGCAAGCCCACACAGGAGCAGTATGCTGCTGAAATGTATTTACAGTTCACTGCAGTAGCAAGCACTTATCCCAGTAATTTCCGGAGCAGGTGAATTAATTCCACAACCCAGTCAAACCAGGCATTAATATGAAAGCCAAGGACTTATTGTCTTTCGAATATATTCGTGTTTCCAAGAACAATGTTGGACTCACGAGGGCAGTGATGCAGTACCTCAAAAAACTCTTCAGAGTTTTTCCCTTTGAGCTTTTTTCCAGCTCCAACCTGTAAAGCTTGAAGTCTTACCTTTTTTTTTTTTTTTTTTAAGAGAATATTTCTGCAAAGGGAACAAGTTAAAGAAGTATCCCATTCCTTTTCAGAGATAACAAAATGGTTAAAGAAAGTACTATTTTTACATTTTAGAAATAACTACATCTTCAGCAGCCAACAGCCAATGTTCTCTGTGGAGCAACCTTGTGATGCAGGAGTATTTTATAAATACCATTGCAATCTGCATAGCAGAACCCTTCCCCAGCAACTGGGCCTTAATAATCAAAACTGGCTTCCTTTCCACGGAAATGCCTCACGCTAAATTTGTGTTACTAGTACAAAAGCAAGAAAAGCCTATCCTATAACATATTTAGAGAATAAAAGTAATTGATGCATTTAATAGTAATTCATACCATCTGTGTCGCAATTTTCAGATAAGAGAGCTGTTACTGAAAATATAGGACCTAAAGCTGCTTATACTGTTCAGAGATGACATACTTATTTGATATGATGTAACCCCAAAGGTATGTGTTCGTAAAATAAGCATAGTTCTAAGACTACCTCAGATATACTTGTATTTAATTAGAATCAGGCAAAATTCCAAAATCTGAACAGAAGACCCTCATCTTAGCTGTGAGTGCAGGTTAGACTTAGGTGCTTCCCCTGCAACCACGCCTACGTTGACCAAGCTGTCAATTTGTGTGAGCGGCTAATTGAAATTAAGCTTTGAGTCAAGGTGACAATTTCAGTTCCAGGGCTCCTTTACCAGAAGCTCCATTAACCAATTGCTGGAAATGCAATTCAGTACAGCACTGGAAGAAAAAAGACAATGATGGTGTAAGGCACACAGAAAAGAGAAAAGGGTGTCAGAGGGGACAAAACAAATCCTTTGTCTGCCACAAAATTAAGTTTTCAAGTTCAGTGTTGTTGCAGATAGTGCTTTTGTATGACAGGCAGCATGGTCTGGTCAGCAATGCCCAGGAACCGGGACTCTGGAAACCTGGTGACTCTTTTCCTGTTTCCCTATTGCTCTGTTGGTGACTTAGAAGAAAACATTGAAATATTAATGGCTGCTTTAAGAAATCTCTAATTCTCACTAGCGAGAGACAGGTTGTATAACTGGGGCTGACTGACATGGGATATTTGTTAGGCAAAGACAGAGGCACTAACACTTGTTGACATTTGCTTTCAAACTGATTGGTATGACAACCCTCTGTGTAACCAAAGCAGCAACATTAGCACCGCATTTTTATCCTGCATCAAAAGGCGCCTTTGTTTTTGCAGTTCAATACATTCTTATATAAATTCTGTGAAAAATAATGTTACTTGATTGTCTGGAGAAGTGGAACAACTTGCTCTGATACTGCTTCAATTTTCTAATTGTTTCAGGCAATAAATCAACATGAATTTTCTTTCAGCTGCCACAGATTTTTAAAGAAATAGAATCTTTGGCAACTACTTCTGCAACTTTAATTAATGTATTCTCCTAAAGTTATAATGTGGTTGCGCTATTTTTAAAAATAAATCCCTCTTCTTTGAGTTGCAACAAATATTTTTAAATCAGCTTTCTTACTGGGCTAGACTCTTATATTATTTCTGATTTTAGAAAGCAATTGAACACATGGTATAACTCATGTTTGAGCTGCATGTAGCACTGGACAGTCACTACTGGTGAAACAGTACATAGTAAATAGGTTGTATTAATTTATATATACTATGTAAAATACTATGTACCACTTGAAGTTCCTAGTAGGAACGGATCCAGTTCTGCTGAGAAATGACATAAGTTGCAAAAGGCCTCCCTAAACTGTGTGAGAGGTGTGTGCTGACCGTCATTGTCTGTGAAGACGACTCTGGAGACCAGCACTACTTGTTCTCAGTACACCGTGACAGAGTGCACTCCTACAGCAAGGAAAACATGTCAATTTGTTTAAGCCCTGCCTTGGATCGTGATCACAGCTATGGAAGTGATAAGGCTTAAGCATCTACAGTCCACTGGGACAAGAACGATTGCTTCCTTCTCTCCTTTCCCCATCCACCGATACCATGAGATCTAGTACACTTGGTTTTGTCCCTTTTAAGTCAGTCAAACAAGACTGTATGCGGACTATTACACGGACACGCACGTGGACTGCTTCATGACTTCTCTATGAGTCTCACTGCGTAACACTCATTGCACACATCTTATCTAAATCTTGGTATTTTCCAGCATTACCTACACTCCATCAGAACAGCACAGAGTAAGTATGGATGAGGAAACCCAGAAAGTCCAAGATCACTTCCACACACAATCAAAAAATGCCTGCTGTTTGCAGATACAGCAAGTACCAAATAAAAAGGTTTTTAAAAAAATGTCTTATAGAGAAAAAGGAAGGAGGTAAAGGAGGGGGCATAAATACATGCAAAATGCTTGGAAGAAATAAAGTCAAAAGGAAGAGAGGGGAAAAAAAAAGGATTAAAAAGTCAAACAAAAAGACACTGCAGAAGTTTGCTGTTTATGTGTATCATCCATTGCATATTTGAACACATTAGTAATGGGCAACAACCTTTCAGACACCACAACAGCTTTTGCACCACTGTGTGAGCTATAATGTTAATGTCTCATTGTCCAAAATGGCTAAAAGTACTATCCAGAAGACAAATTATCTTCCTCTGCTGTTTCTCTTCCCCTTATTATGTGGTCCTGTAACCAATGTCTCCCCTCTCTTGAAATCTCTTGAAAGACTTTACTGATCTCATGGTGCAGGGATTAGTAGCTGAGCATTTACCCATTTTTTACACGTATTTTAAATATATAATACTTACTCGTAAGGATTGTCAGCAAAAATAAGTACTCTGCATAAGATATCAGCCCTGAAAAAAAGAGTTAAAAAATTACTTGCAAAAAGAAAATATACTTACAGCAAGACCTGAAAGATCGCATCTTATAAATATAAAAAATGTAGTTTAACATTGTATTAAATAGGTTATTAAAGTATGCTACATTATTATTTAATAAAGTTTTTACTTCTGTTTTTAGTACTCTGATGGTAAAATTCCCTATCCAGAGTCTGATCAATGTTCATGTCTAATAAGAAAGTAAGGTTTATTTGGTATTAAGAAAAGGCCTACACTAAATCTTTGGATTCTCACTGAAAATATTCAATGTTTATATAAAAGGCAAATAAATTAAATGTGCTTTGTCACATTTAGTACCTGGGAGGAGAACTACTCTAATGTTACCCTGAAGGATCAAAGTCCTCCATCCTTTGGCAGGCTCGTGAAGGCAGAGAATAGCTTCCCTTTAATTCTCAAGGGGAACATGGCAACACGCAAAGCTGCCAAGCTGCTAGATTGTGCTGATAGTACTGCTGGGCCACATGCCAAGAGGAGGCTTCTTTTTTTTTTTTTTTTTTTTTAAATAGGAACATGTCCTTTCTACAAGGTGAAAGTATTTTCCTCCCTTTTGAAGGAAAATTCCAGTGTTTTCCTTTGAAATACCGCCTTAAGTGAAAAGCCTGAACAAACACAAAGATGCGATAGCGTCAAAATAGAGCATACGAGCTAAAGATAGAGTGTGCATAACGAGGGTGGTTAAACAGCAGAATCTGAACCATCTGCCCTGCAATAATGTTTGGAGAAAAAATGTAAAGGGCTTTTTTATAAATCACTTTTCAAAATAACTGAGCTACTTTTAACTTGTGAGCTAAACATTGTATAATGCTGAAGCTGCTTAAAATAATAAAGCTCAAACATGCCTATCTGTGCAAAGATAAAACTATTTTTTATAATTTATATTTAGTTAATTGATAGATAAGGAATCCACTTAAGCTTCAGTGATAAACAATTAACTTCTGATAAATTACTATGCATAGCCAACAGCATTTGTATTTGACCTCAGATAGTGACTTAACACTTTAAGTACCAGAGTTTAGAAACACTAAATTGCTGAATGCAAGAGTCTGAAAATCCAAGAACAAGCCTTAGCTAAAGACAGGTCTAATGCTGATCCTGCTGCCAACTCACTCTGGTTCCAAATCTCAGTTTTCCTCTCCATCAAAATAGGGTTATTCACCTTATTATCCAGAACGCATCACGTGTAAATCAGCACAGTAATACAGTCATACAATACAATGTGGAAAAAAATATACTTTCATCTCAAAGATTTAATTTTGCTTACAACTTTTAGGGTTACTGCTATTGCATGAATGTTTATTATTTTTTGCATTGCTGTAAAACTTGGAATTGCATTCCTAGACAAAGTGTCCAGGATTTCTACAAATATGAAACCAAACACAGGAAGAACTCCTATGCTATTTTTTTAGCTTACATGCCTACATATAAGACAAGATAAAAAATTGATAGAAACAAAAAGGGGAGGAAAAGAAATAAAGAAAATAGTGTGACGGGCAGTGATCAAGATCCTACTCCCCAATTTTGTTTTGTGTGTGTCACAGTAAAAGAATGTTTAAAAGAAAAATATAAAGAAAGACAAAGAGGTAACTTTTCAACTCTATAGAGAAAACACCTCCCAGTTGTGGACTGCAATGGTAACAGCACAAAGACCCCTGCCTGAAAATTTAACCAGTAAGTGATGAAGGCCAGCATTATTGGCCAAGGCGAAGTCAGAGTCTGCCTCTCAGCTGTCTGGAGACGTGCTGCACAGGGATAGTCTAGGGACGTAAGAAAAACATCTTTATCAAAGCATTTGAAAGGATATTAACATGGCAGATTATGTTTGTTAAGTCAGAGAAAAAAAGTTTGTAATAATTGAGATACAAAATGCTTAGTGCCTGGAGAGTTTTAGCTATATGGGTGGACAGGGAACATTGTACCTTATAAAATTTTGCATAAAGAATCTGCAAAATTCATATGCAGATGGCACGATGTAAAGAAAAGACCAATTTAAAGACAACACCCTGCTTATGGGCTCAAGGGAGAAGCACGATGGCTCTATTCCCTTAAATTGCATAGGGCTGGAAAGAAGAGCCTTGCAAGAAATGGCAGGGGTGAGACACAGACTCTGTTTTCATAATTTTATTGTAAACTGACTGAAAAGTCACTATAGTGAAATAGGTAAAAAGGTAAATGTAATAAAAATATGTAAAAAAAAAAATCTTGATTGCGCTTTAAGACCTGTTTCAGTGCCTTAATGCAGATCCGCAGCCTGTCTGACATTTTCTGGCAGACTGATTAAAACTAAAATAATTTGAGATATGATTTTTAAACTTCTGGGCTCAATTCCACAAAAATTATTTTTTTGATTTTATTGTCCTTTAACTACCTGTAGTGAATGGACAACTTATCCATAAAGAAAACTAAATATTTTTGTAATTTTCTTTTTATTCTACAGTAATCATTACAAAGTTACTCAAATTAAAAGATGTACTGCAACAAATATAAAAAAATGCATAGACTACTATATTCATGTCCAAGTAAAAATTAAAAGATAAAAGTTTCACATACTGTTGAATGACTCGGCATACTTGCAGCCAAGTATTTGCAATTAGCATTGGCAAAATACTGTCATTTTCTAACACTAAATGAACCTTCCCTATCCCTCCCTGGAAATCTCTGTCCTCAAACTTTATAGCAAGTGCTGACAGTACAATATTCTTATTGCTGAATAAATCATAAGTACACTCACAAAATATTACATGAATCTTAAAACTGCCCACTAGAAGGCAGAATTCCCTAGCATTACGTTTTACAAACTGGACTGATGACAGTTTTCCCTCTACTTGATATTTAAATAACAATTTGAAGGTAGTGAAAATAATCTCAGCTAAACAGTGGAACAGGTGTAGATTTATTATTCTGGTACTTGTAAAAGTAATATTTAATACATAAATATTTACATTTTTAAAATGTAACAATAAGGCATCTCAAAGCAAAAGCATCTTAGTCACTAAAGAGCCATCATGATTGAGAACTGTAAAAACTCCATGTCTTGTGAAGACATATGGATGACTGCACTGAATGCTCCTGTATCATCTCAACTCCCACCTGACCTTTGAAGGAGAGTAAATGGACACAGACCTAAGCAAGGGGAGTTCAGTGCTTTGTCCAGAATGCAAAAGATGCCAGGCTGCACGTAACACTGAGCCCACTTTCTGCCAAGCAGTCAGCTGGGAGAGGTGCAATAAAAGGAGGCTGCGCTGATTTTGCTGTTTTCACTTTCTATTGGTGGATTCTGGTTTTCCCAGGCAGAGTACTTTGGGGATTTGCAGAGTCAGCCACTAGAAATGGCAGGCTCTAAAAAAGTAAAAAGTAAAAGTAAAAAGAGAAAGAATAGCCAAGAATTAAAGACTGGGAATCGTTTAAACCCAATCCTGGGAAAGCAAATGATGACGAATAAATTGAAAAGGCAGGGAATGACTATTCAATACAAAATCAAGCCTTCCCTAGGGTAGGAAAAAACTTGTTCAGAGATATTTCAGGGCTGCTGTGGTATGCTGGGGCCTGCACGAGTAGACTGACAAGCAAGGCACCCAGCTAAAGAACCCTCCTCATCTGCACAAGGATGCAAGAAACGAATGGCAGGTAGAAGAGGCCATGAAGCCAAAGGGCAGGCAAAACGCTGCAGGCTGAGATCGAGGGCTGTTCTCTCGCACAAGCTGGCAGCCATGGCTGGGAATTTGCTGTGCACACAGAGAGCGTGGCTCATGCCTGCCAAGGAACTGCAGCAGTGCAAAGGCAGCTTTATTTTCCAGAAATGTCCATGGGATAAGGGATTCAGGCTGAACTGCACTATACACAAAGTTTGTGAATAGACGCTGTTGGTCTTTCTCATTAGTTTGGGGATTTCAGTCTTTGTTACTGGTGAAATGGTTAATTACTCATCTATTTGGTTTCCTTGATCCTCTTATTTGTTTTCCTCCTTCAATTAATTTATGCTAATGAGGTGTTTATTTGGTGTTCTTTAATTCCCTGCTGTTATACGAACAGTATTGCAGCTCTCAGTTTTCTCTTTATGTAGCTCTATATAAGGTGGAAATACTGGGTGAAAAGAAACCAAAGCACATTGCTGCTATGAAGGGCCACCAAGCTCCTGAAGAGGGAGAAATAAGTTGAACAGCTCTTGGAGTCAGGGATGCCACTTTACATAAGTAGATACATATTTTATATTTATTCTTAGTTTCCATGCATTTAAGTTATATAGTGAAACAGCAACTTGTTAACAACAAGCCTTAAAAGTCCATTTTGTCCTGAAGTCACCCCTCTAGCCCCTTTCTCTTCTCCAGGTAGGCTTTCTGATTTCTTTCATGTCTCCTCTTGCACCTCAGGTGACTTTCAGTTCTCAGCCCTGTCTCTTTACTCTCTTGCATAACCGAGAGATTTGCCAAGGAGGCAGCTACTGGCTAGATGGAGGTGAAGTCAAATCAATTAAACCTTCTTTAGAAATACATCCAATTTATACCACATAATGGGTATGTTTACTGGAGTTGTTTAGCCTGGAGAAAGGGAGGCTGAGGGGAGACCTTACTGCTTTCTACAGCTACCAGAGAGGAGGTTGTAGTGAGGTGGGTGTCATGGTCTCTTCTCCCAAGTAACAAGTGACAGGACAAGAGGAAACAGCCTCATGTTGTGCGTTTAGACTGGATATTAGGAAAAACTTCTTCACTGAAAGGGTTGCCAAGCACTGGAAGACGCTGCCCGGGAAAGTGGTGGAGTCATCATCCCTGGAGTTGTTTAAAAGATGCGTAGATGTGGTGCTTAGGGACACAATTTAGTGGTGGACTTTGGCAGCGTTAGGTTAATGGTTGGACTTGATGATTTTAAAGGTCTTTTCCAACCTAAATGATTCTATGATTCTATAATGAGATAAAAAGCAAGATGTATTTTTCAATATCAACTGCTCATTACCTTTATCACCAAGCTCTCTAAAAAAGGTCGGTCCTGGTTTAGCTTTGGCAACACACAGCAGTGCCGCATCTACCTCCTTTAAAGACAAAGAAGAAAACATAAAGACAGTTTTGAAAGATAAGTCTAGTCAGCTGAGTAACAGAAAGAATGCAAGTTCTTTTGAAGAAGGAAAGGAACATTTTGCTTACCTTTTTTGTCAGTTTCTTGGCTGAGGCTTTACCTATAATAAAAAAAAGATCATCATTCAATAACAAACTGACTTTAAACTTTGATCAGGTTCTGTGGCATTTCTTCAGATTTTTATGGGAAAATGCTAAGTAATATGAAACAGAGTATTTTGCAACAGGCAGTTTGTTTCCAATTCCCACAACAATCAAGAAAGGACAACATTTAAAAACTATATGAGCAGTCTGTTCAAATGTTCTTGCAACCTAGCTGAAACCATAGCCCACTTTGGTGGGCTACGACTGATTTACTAGTGTGATTTTGCAACCTGCGAGCTACAAATGTAGTACAATGTTTACAAAGGGATTTGCATGCATACATAATAATCCTTCCAGTGCAGGATGAGTAGCAAAAGCTAAGAAATACTAAAAAACAGAAAAAAGAATGATAATGCTAACGTTTCTATTAAGCAGAAGTAAACTCAACAACCCTGCCTACTGAAACAGCATCAGATGAAACCGTTCAATCTCTTAAGTATTTATTAGTAGGTTCAAGTCTACATACTCGAATAAGGGAGCCACTGGCAGCAGTATAGATTATATTCCTGTGTAAATCACTCGTTGGAGGAGCTGCGATATATCATCAGTGGAATGTTTCAGCTGGTTAGGCAGGGATCACAGAAATCCTGCGGTCACGGACTGGCAGGAGCTATGCTCCATCCCTTCTCCGTCTGTCTTCCCTATCACACCAGTCTGTCTCCTCAGCATTTCTCCTCATACAGTTCTTAAAACCCTGTGTCCTCCTCAGTTTCTCTGGATTCCAGACAGCCATTCACTCCTATTTATTCACACTGTGTAAGCACCAGCCGAGCTGGTTACATTTGCTCTGGGGACCAGTGGCCCACCATGCAGCAGCCTGCTTTTCTCCATGTTCAGACTCCAAGGCTCACTTTGCTGCTTCACGGGCAGCTTGCATCCAAACAGTCAGCAGTGCACCACTGCTGTTGGGAAACGGGCACGATGGAGACAGTCTGGTAGGCAGCTGTCAACAAACTTCTACCAAGCATTTTCACAGGCCCATAATTTATCCACACAGAAGTACATTCTCAGTAAAACAGTAAATTTCCATAATGCTGGCAAAAGACATGTCCAGCTGCAGAGGGTCTCCACTGGCAACTTTTGGCTTCGGATGAGGGAAGCTGCTGGCATATCTCAGCCACCAATAGTTAATTTTTCAGCACAGGCAGACCAGTGCCCTGGCCTCTGCTCCCTGAACTGGCAGTAACAGTTTTGCTGATAAATTCCTCTCCCCACCCCTCCTCCCTGAAATGAGCCTAAGGCAGACATCTGGCACATAACATTTCAACCCAAATGTTTAAGTTTGACAAAAGTTATAAGCAACTAAAATTAGGGTTTTAATACTGGAGTGTTGAGTGACCCCAGCAACAGGTGTTGCCAGCACCACCTGTTACTGGGGGTGAATAGATTTTTGTGCAGTGCCTCTACATATATTTACACCCATATACATACACATATATAAAGCTACATAGATAGATACCTTCTAGCTCAAAGGACGCATTAAATCCTCTGCCTCATTTGAGATAACAGAACCCAGGTTAGTAACAGTTTGGGAGAAGCAGCAAAAATCACAACATCCAGTAAGGCTGAGTGCTGAGCAGTGCAATAAAACACCACACTTCAATGTTGTTCACTGCTTCAGAGCATTTTAATGAATGCCTATTTAGCAAATTAAGTGATTCAGATCTCAGCTTTGAAATGTTGCCACCTCTGTACAGCACATTTCATCGTCGAATTAAACTACAGCAGCTCTCTCAGCTCTGGGAGACCCACACAGCGAGCAGCCTTCTAGAAGGGCATGAGTCAGGCTGTAGGTTTGCAAAAACCAGTATCTGACAGAAAAAAAGGGATAAACCACCCTTCCACGATCCTCACTGTAAATGCCCTCGGTAGTTGTCGTCTGTACTGAAGCAAGCTATGCAGTCTTATTTGGTTAATAGCGGCTCCACTCATTCCACTCTCCTGGTGGCCCCAAGAGCATCGTATCTGGGATGGCAACTGCTACCGCAGCAGTGTGCTGGGCAGTAACCTTTCGCCAGCTTCCTGGAGGATGATGAAGGGAGACAAACTGAACTCTGTGAGCTGAAACAGCAAACACATGAATAATTGATGTAAGGTAAGGAGAAGGCACCAGGAGCTACAGCTGAGACACTTGATGGCCATGTTTGTGGGGCTCTACACTTGGTTAAGTCCATGTTTCTCTTTGTGTTGTATTCAGCACAGTAACTCTGTGCTGAAACACTTTAGCTACCCAGTTTTAGGGAACATAGCCTCAAAGAGAGTTACCTTACTGTGACAAAAATTAAGAAAGGGAAGGAAAATCTGTTGCAGACATGTGCACCCTCTTTTCACCAGCCTGCAGAGCCACAACTGCAACTGCCTAGAGCTCCTACCAATGGCTGTGGAAGCCATAACATCTGCCCTCTTGCATTCAGCTCTGGCCACCCTCCAGAGGACATTTAAGATGCTGACATGCCGACTGACCTGCTTCAGAGACGGAAAGACAATAACAATGACACCGAGGTGCTCATGCTACCCTTGACTGGAGAACCTTGGTGTGGGTGAAAGTGGCAGTGGAGGAAAGGAAGCCTTTGCTGCATGGCAGAAGAGGACACTCTCATTGCCACAGGACATGGTGAGGGGAAAAATGAAGTCGCTCAGCATTGGTCCCTGCCATGACTGACTGCACAAGGGGCTGCTGCTACAATAAAAGAGGAAAAAAGGCATGAGGGAAAGGGACAGACTGAGAGATAAACAAAGACATTTCTACTCTTCTAAGTAGTAAACACAGCACAGTAATAAATGTGGAGCCTTTTAAGGTGCTCTTCTCAAATGGGCTTAAAAATCAAAAGATTTAATAACCTAGTCAAATGAAAATGGCATACAGATGTCAGCAAGCATATGTACCAGTAGGCCAGGATTTTTTTTGAAAAAACTGACATTTGGGACACTAATGTTATTTTTCATATTGCCATTTGTGTAAAGTGTTAGAATATACTATTATAATTATGCAATAATTTAAACTATAGAATGAGTTTCCTCCAATGATTATTTGCATATTTTCTAAGAATTAAATCCCGTTATATTCTGTTGGTACGGTCACCATACAGAATCATCTGGGAAGACTCAAATCTCAGTTTTCATTTGGAAAGATTAGCTACTTTTATTGTAGCACTCATAATATTTCTTGAACACAAATTCAGCTCTTAGTTTTTATTCTCTCCATTAATTCACTTCCTAACAATGAGATCCCTTTAAACACCAACAAGGAAAGCTCTGTTAATATTGCACAGTACCATAGCAAATGTGCAGCCCTCTGAGGAACCAGGTCTTTTAAGGCCTTGTCTACAACAACTAGGAAAAGAAGGTTACCTCCTCCTTGCAGAAAACACACTGCAAAGGTATGAACAATTTTCTTAGCCTGTTTGGACAAGACAAAAAAAAAAACAAAACCAAAAAGCCTCTTCTTTTCTACCAATTAAGTCTTGGTGCTGTCATTCCTGACACATGACTACAAATGTATCAGGATCTAAGTCTCTCTCTGAGGAATACAAGCAAAGGTTATAATTATTAGGAACTATTTAATCTAATAAGTAAAAGATCTGTACGATGGACTTTTCTATAGTTTTATTATTTTACCTTGATAGATTCTTACTAATAGGTAAATTAATGACATATTATAAAACTTGTTTGTAGTTGTAACAATCTTAATTTGGTATCAGAAAAAGAAACTTGGAATTTTTATTGTTTGAACTTGAACGAATGAGAAGAAAAACAACCTTTTTCTTCCTACAGATCTGACAAGACTGTGATGGAATTCTGGCTTAAAGGACAAGGAGAATTTTCAAGGGTCTCTACTTATTTTACAGATATTATCATCTAATTTTCATCATCTGTAGTGGATCCATGAAAAAAACGGCGATGAACAGACACACCTTTCACAGGCAGAAAGCCATTTTAGTTTTCTGAGTTGAATGAATACTGAGTATACTTAGAATCATGCAAATTCTGTGCAGTTAGCCAAGAAAGTTAGCTGATGACTGTAATTAAGAAATCACTGCCAACAGCAGCTAAATCAGCCTTAATTTGCCCTGGGCAAACCTTGATATTTTGTCACAGGCACATTTCTTACAATAGAAGTGTTTCCACTATCTATCAGTTTTTTACACTAAAAGGTAGGATGGACCTGACATCCGTATTAGGATTAACATTAGGAAAGGGCTGATTTAAACAAATACCCACTTGCACTCAGTAACACCCATTTACACCCATATAGCTAAGGAAAGGCTTAGATCTGACAAAAGATGTTTAGAGAGAAAGAGTGAATAAAATCACTAAGATCAACCATTATAACAACAATAATCAAATGCCAAAGCAAAAGTAGAGAAATTACTACAATCTGCAAGAAAGCATAATTTTACATGTCTGCAAGATTGCTCTATTTTTGTAGTATGGAAATGAAAATTAATTTTTGAACCAATCTTTCTCCACAGGCTTAACTTCAAATGAGAACAGTATAAAAATATTTTCCCAGGAGGACAACAAACTCCTGTCACTTTTATCAGTGAAGTCACTGAGATGGCTTGACCAGGATCTCTTTTCAGCTCCATCTCAGATAAACCTGAGATCTCAAAAAATAAATAAACTTGTCCCCACAGTTTTTTAACTTTAGATAGCAATCATTGCTATCTTTGCTGAAGCTTGTCAAGTTCAAAGTCATACAGGAGTATTAGGAAACTATATGTCTTTTCCCGAAAAAAAATAGGAAGAAAATAGCATTAAGTACGTTACAGTTCGACCAAACTCTGATTCTGCAAAATGATAAGTAAAACAAACCTTTTAAACTGGACAGGATTTCAGCACAGCTGTAATCTCTGGACAGGATCAGGGCATTTTAAAACCCAAACCCACTGTGTGCAGCTCATGCTTTGGCCTTTACAGCAGAGCTCACCTGTACCCTTGCCTGCTGTGACAACAAGAATTTGTACTCTGCGCCCTGGTGAGCTGGGTTGGGGAAGAACCATGTTTGTTGACTTCCTTGGGGAGAGACCCTGTTAAAAATTTTGCTTAAATTAGCCTAAGATAGAAGATCATTGAAATTCAATGTCTCTTATTTCATTCCTAGCTCTCTGATATTTTCAGTGATAAAACCAATGCAAGTACTTTATCTCAACAAGGTGTCCTTTGTTTACTGTCTTATTTATGTTCTCAGCTCTTTAAAGCTCTTCTGTGGATTTATAAAGTACTTACTGCTAATGAAACCAATAATGTAAAGGACAAAAATTCAAGCCAATAATTAGTTCTTTAAGGCCTCCTTTTGAAATATTTGTGATATTGATGCTAATGGAGATAAATCAAGGATAGCAAAAAAAAAAATAAAAATCAAGGGTTTTTGAAAACATGACAAGCCAAGCGGTCATATTGCTTTGATAGCTCCTACCAAACCAATATCTGAATAATAAATGAGCGTGCCATTTAAATGAATTAACAATCCACTTCAGCTAGAAAAAAATCACTGAACATTGCTCCTTTGAAAGATAATTGATAAAAGTAATTTCAGTCACACGAACTAGGGAATTGAATCACAAGAATTACAATCCAAGTATGCCCAGTGGAAAAGGCAATTTGCAATAATAGAAGCTTCTGATATGCTTTACAAAACAAGCTTTGCATCTGTCCTTCTTTATTTAGCGCAACTGTTCCTCTGAGAAAACAAGAAATAAAAAGTGATGGGCTGAGGCCAGCACTGGCAAATCTCTGTTTCAGGAAAGCAGTTGCATCAGAGCCAGTCAATACCAGAAGGTTTCTCTGTGAGTAAGGCAGCCTGGGGTAAAAAGGGTGGGATGCTGATGCAGGCAGAAAACATCAAAGGATGACACAATCTTTTAGGAAACTGAAACAGACTGAAAAATTAAGATAAGCCAGTTTTCAAAACCTGTTAAAGAGACCATGGCACCGAGTCCCCAGCGGTGCCAGGACTTCCAAAATAACCAGAGGCATCAGAGCAAAAGCAGACTTTGTGGTGCTCGCTACAGAGCATGCAAGCAGCTCAGTCCTCACTGGGGCCGTGGCAGCAGTCTGTGGGGATGGCAGGGAGAGCAGGGGAACAACTCTTCCTTACGTATGATCCAGGGAAAGTGACTTGCTCCCAGATCTGCTCTCTAACTTATCCAAAGTGCAGACAGGAAAAGCTGAGAGTAGGTTCAAACTTCCAAGTTTAGCACTAGACTTGCACTGCAATGATACATAGCATACAGAAAGTTATTTCTTCCAAAATACCAGGAAAGCCTAACAGCAACCTAGACTGGAAGGGACTAACTAGACCTGTAATACAACAGCTTCCTGCACACAGACCGTGCAAAAGGAGCATGAGATGGGAGTTAAGACCACACCAGTAACACAGAAGCAGCAAGAAGCCAAGCAGAGAGTGCAATCGCATGTGAGCCTCTCCCCAGCAGGAGAGGCTGCCAGCCCTCTGGGCTGGTCCTGAGCTCAGGACTAGGCGCAGCGTTCAGAGGAAAAATGTGTCACTTGAAATGCAAGTCCTCAGACTCCCAAATAGGCACCTCATGCTTGGTTCCTTTGGCTTCATTTAGATGTCTAAAAATTAGATGCCTAAATCTGAGTTCGTGATCTCTGTGGTGCTTTGCTGTAACTATGATGGTGTAAGGACATACACAGAAAAGTGTTTATAATTAACTTTGAAATCTGCTGCTCCTATTTCAGATCTGAGGAAGAGCTCATATGCCCAAAAGCTTGTCTAATTTTTCCAACTTACAGCAGCTAGTCTAATAAAAGATACTATCTCTATCTAGAAACCTCATCCTGACTAATGACCCCAGGCTCACTTTATAGCCAAGGGAGAGAACCAGATAGAGCACAAGAGCAATTTATTCCAGGTTGAGATAGGTGTCTAATACAGCCCTTGGACTTACCTGTTTCCTTCCATCAACTTTAGAGAGATACTACAATCACTTGCTCTAACCTGACATTCAGCTTTTATGTGTCTAAATTGAGTAGATGAATCCTTCTGCATGGAACCAGATAATTCACACCGTGACTGCTTTTTGCATTTGTTATATCTGTCATCTGTTTTTTCCAACTTCCTATCTATCAGCCCGATGTTAGCAGTGCTAAGGGCATGTATTCTCTGTTTTATTAAGAACTTAATCAGACTCAAGGGTACAGTATACTAGAGTTCAAGAGGAAGAGTGGCTGCAGAATTGGAGCAATAAGGTATTATAAAGGACAATTAAGATTACCTGGAAGGAGCTCTCTCCATAATATGTGTTTCTGAGACCAGAGGGATGGAGGACTACTCCTGCCAACCTACACATAACATTATACAGTTCAGACTTTTGGGATGGACGGTATCTCCTTAATCAGCACAAAACTTTGTACCTCCCACAAAGAGCAGGCAGGCAGAGCCTCAACTCAAGAAAAATTCCTAGTATTAGGCTTGAGATGGTAGTCAGTCTCATCCAGCAAAGAGAACAGCATAAGCTAGACTAAGCCTTCAAGAAGACTCTGAATTCATGAACTTTGATCCTATCCCAAAATAAAGAAGATATTACTTCTGTAGCATTGCTATGCTTTATGTTGTCATCTCATATTGCTACCAAAGACTAGTACTAGTACTAGTGCCGGAACACATGCTAAGTTAAGGTACTAACAACAGACGAAGATAAACTATTATGACAGCCTTGCAGCACTAGAGGTTTAATTCTGTTCCTCTACTAGACAGTGTTAGAAGTCATGATCCCTGGTCTAAGGGCTCTGTAATCTACTTTCAAGGCTAGAGAGGATAACAAAAAACAGAAGGACAACTAAAGTAGGATAAGAACAACAACAATGAGGTGACACAGCTAAAGTCTAACCACATGCACAACAAGCAAACTGCATCTTAATTGTAAGCAGAGATCAATTTGGATTCAGAATTAAAATGTGTGCAAATCCATCATCCCACAATCAAAATGAACGAAGAAAAGGTCAACACTTCAACAGCAGCAGAATTAATTCTTACTCCAGTGTAAGACTTGATTTAAGCTTATGTACTCAACAGAAAGCCACCATCACCACTGTAGCAACTATCACACCCCATTCAGCATCTTCCTTTACAATTTGTATTCTTCCACATATCTGAAGATTTTCCCTACCATGAGGAACTGTTACTCTTCACATGCATCTCACAAAATGTAACAAAACATAATACAGTTAAAGACTATGCACAACAAGAAGTCTTGGATGAATCCCATCAGGCCCCATGGACTTCAAAGAATCATAGAATGGTTTGAGTTGGAAGGGACCTTAAAGATCATCTAGTTCCAACCCCCCTGCTATTGGCAGGATTTGTGAACATTCAGCTGATATGGCTGGTCCCTTACAATTTCAGTGTCCACAAATGGAAAGTCACTGTTCCCACACTCGTGGTCCTCTGACTCAGGGGACTGGGCAGCCCAAGGTCTATCTGATGCAAAAACCACATTGAATGCCTCTGCTTTTTCTTCATCCCTATTAGTCAGATGACCATCTTCAACAAGTATCAGCCCAATGTTTTCTTTAGACCTCCTCTTGCTATTTAACGTACTTCAAAAAATTATGGAGAAGATTATACTGGGTACTACTGAAAGGCATTTAAAGAATAATGCAATGATCAGGCAGAGTCAGCGTAGGTTCACAAAGGGAAAGTCCCATTTAACTGATTTGATATTCTTCTATGATAAGGTCACCCACCTAGTCGATGAAGGGAAGGTGGCGGATGTAGTTTTTCTGGATTTTAGTAAGGCTGTTGATACTGTCTCCCACAGCATCCTTCTGCACAAGTTGTGCAACCGAGGGATGAGCTGGTTCATGGTGCACTGGGTGAAGAACTGGGTGAAGAACTGGCTGAAGGGCAGAGCTCAAACGGTTGTAGTGAATGAGGCTGCATCTAGCTGGCGACTGGTCAGCAGCGGTGTTCCTCAGGGTTCAATTCTAGGGCCAGTGCTGTTCAATATATACATATATCTCAATGATCTGGATGCAGGAGTTGAATGCACCATTAGCAAGTTTGCTGATGATACGAAACTGGGAGGTGCTGTTGACTCTGCTGACTCTGTAACAGAGGGATCTAGATAGACTGGAGCATTGGGCACTCATCAGTGACATGAAATAGAACAAGTCTAAATGCCAGATTCTGCACGTAGGCACAAGTATAAATTTGGAAAGGAGTGGCTGGAGAGCAGCCCTGCAGAAAGGGGCCTGGGGGTGCTGGTCAACAGCAGGCGCAGCAGGAGTCAGCAGTGTGCCCTGGCAGCCGAGAGGGCAAATCCCATCCATCCTGGGGGGCATCAAACACAGAATGATCAGCCGGTCAAAAGAGGCGATTATCCCGCTGTATTCAGTGTTAGTGCAGCCTCACGTTGAATACTGTGTGCTGTTCTGGGCCCTACAATTTAAGAAGGATGTGAAGATCCTTGAATGCGTCCAGAGGAGGACAACACAAAGCTAGTGAAAGGGCTGGAAGGAATGTCCTATGAGGAGCAGCTAAGTACTTTGGGCTTGTCTGGTTTGGAGAAAAGGAGGCTGAGGGGCTACCGCACTGCTCTCCACAGCTTCCCAAGTTGGGGAAATGGAGAGGGAGGTGCTGAGCTC